TCAGTGCTGCCTGCCCCCATCTCTGCCCGCCGCCAGAACCCACCCACCCCGGCTGGTTTCCTCTCATCTGGGGAAACCGAGGCAGCCCACCTGCAGCTTGTACTGCTCCATGGCGTCCTCCAGGGCGGCCAGGAAGTCTCGGTTCTCCTCCTCCAGGCGGGCCACCTGGCTCTGCAGGGCCAGCAGCGCCCCCTCATCGTCCTGTGGGGCAGGGAGCCGGGCTTCAGGGCCAGGGGCTGGCAGGGCGAGCCTGTCTGTCCCTGGGACCCAGGGTGCTCCGTCTACCCCGCCAGGGTCCCCCCCGCCCAGCGCTGCTCTGCTCCCACGGGGTTCCCCCAGCCCAGCCCTACTCTGCTCCCACGGGGTTCCCGCAGCCCAGCGCTACTCTGCTCCCACGGGGTTCCCCCAGCCCAGCCCTACTCTGCTCCCACGGGGTTCCCGCAGCCCAGCGCTACTCTGCTCCCACGGGGTTCCCCCAGCCCAGCCCTACTCTGCTCCCACGGGGTTCCCGCAGCCCAGCGCTACTCTGCTCCCACGGGGTTCCCCCAGCCCAGCCCTACTCTGCTCCCACGGGGTTCCCGCAGCCCAGCGCTACTCTGCTCCCACGGGGTTCCCCCAGCCCAGCCCTACTCTGCTCCCACGGGGTTCCCGCAGCCCAGCGCTACTCTGCTCCCACGGGGTTCCCCCAGCCCAGCCCTACTCTGCTCCCACGGGGTTCCCGCAGCCCAGCGCTACTCTGCTCCCACGGGGTTCCCCCAGCCCAGCCCTACTCTGCTCCCACGGGGTTCCCGCAGCCCAGCGCTACTCTGCTCCCACGGGGTTCCCCCAGCCCAGCCCTACTCTGCTCCCACGGGGTTCCCGCAGCCCAGCGCTACTCTGCTCCCACGGGGTTCCCCCAGCCCAGCCCTACTCTGCTCCCACGGGGTTCCCGCAGCCCAGCGCTACTCTGCTCCCACGGGGTTCCCCCAGCCCCAACACTACTCTGTTCCCACAGGGTTCCCCCAGCCCAGCGCTACTGATCCCACGGGGTTCTCCCAGCCCAGCGCTACTGTTCCCACAGGGTTCCCCCAGCCCAGCGCTACTGATCCCACGGGGTTCTCCCAGCCCAGCGCTACTGTTCCCACGGGGTTCCCCCAGCCCCAACACTACTCTGTTCCCACAGGGTTCCCCCAGCCCCAGCGCTACTGATCCCACGGGATTCTCCCAGCCCAGTGCTACTGTTCCCACGGGGTTCCCCCAGCCCCAACACTACTCTGTTCCCACAGGGTAACCCCAGCCCCAGCGCTACTGTTCCCACGGGGTTCCCCCAGCCCCAACACTACTCTGTTCCCACGGGGTTCTCCCAGCCCAGCGCTACTGATCCCACGGGGTTCCCCCACCCCCCCGCTCTGCTCCCAC